AAAAATATAGATAAGAATAGAAAAGTTATCAAACATTTGCATTAGAAATCCAGAACAAGATAAATATTTTTAAAACAAACTGAGTATATATTATGATCTAAAGTATAATTTAATTAAATTAGCTACGATTTCCACTATTGCAAAGAAAAATGGTTGTGCCTTAAAAGATTCATATAGATCAAAGATCAAAATGGTGTGGTGTTTGACATTATAAAATTGGACTATTTTTGAATATCTACACATGATAAATGATTATCCAACAAAATTTATGCAGACAATCTCATAGACATACGTTGTTGCCATAAAATACTCATCTGTTTTGAAAACAATATGTCAGAAAATATGACAACAAGGAATAAAAAATAAAGATACGAAAGATTTTGCGGTTTGACCCTTGCGAAAAGGTCGGGCTATATAGAGCTCTCACTGTCTTCTATGAACCAAAAACAGACACATATTTATATAAGTTTTTAATTGTAAACTAGGATTTCATTTAAATAACTTTGCACAGGTTAGCAATTACTCGAATTTTATTAGTTTTTAGTAATTTATATACTATTTATATGGCTGTGAATGGTACACAGGAAGACATAGGGGATATTTTCGTTATTCATCTACTAAGAGATAAAAAAAAGTAGTAAAAAAATTTATAAGGCTAACAACTTATGAAACTTAAATTAAATACTAACTGATGCTAATTGTTATAAATATGCACAAGTGCTTCGTGTAATAAATACAAACACCTTTATACTATCATATCATATCATATATATATATATAATTTTATAATGCGAATTATATATGTGGCGCATGGGACGTGTTCTCATGGCAGGAAATTAAATGTGAGGTCTCAAACTCAAAGGATATTCTAGATTAACCATTGTAGCGCATGGGATGTATTCTCGTGGCAGAAAATTATGTGAGGTCTCAAACTCCAAGGATATTCTCTAGTAATCATCTCCCCCCTGGTCTCACGTCTGCTCCCATTTCCTGATCAGACTTATTCTTCAATTTTCTATATATAATTATTCTCTTTAAAAAAAAAAAATGGCAGTTATGTTAACGTTATTCAGAAAAAACTATCGCGACATGCACATAAAACTCAAATTGACCATCGAGACATTTTTTTATAACCGAAGAATCTCAAGTCGAAGTCTAGAATTTAAAACGCCATATATTTTTTTGTAGAGTTTAGTGTAAAGCAAAGAAAAAAAAACGTGTTAGGAATTTCTTATCAAACGTGATATAAAACCTAGAGAAATTTTAAAGGATATGTTTCGTTTGAAATATATGGAGCTTAACATAACATTAGACCATGAGATGACCCAAACAAGATGGTCCAAGTAGCATATATTGATGATTCTAAAGTGATATTTAACACAAGATGGACAGAGAGAAATATTATTTCAGAAGTGTTAGAAATGAGACATAAGATAATATTATGTACACTATAAGCTATTTTATTCACTGTTAATTAATTTTGAGTTTGAAAGATAAAACAAAATAATTCGGTGAATGATATTAGGTCAAACTTCACACATCACGTGGAAGAAATAAATTATCATGAATAGAAACAAAACTAGAAACAAAACTGTAAATTTGTTTCTCTGTTGGAGAATCAATCGAACTTTGCGAAATTTCAGACATAAAAACGTTTGTCTTGGCAGAGCAATAACAAAGTGATAAAGCTCCAAAAATCTTTCTAGTTTCGATGAAATCTCAAAATGAGACATCAAAATGGAACATCAGAGTTTCCGCCGCAATTTATATGCTTAATTTATATATAGAGATAAATAGTCAAATACGAGATAAACAGTGCACAAAACAGTTCTTATTATCATAATTTATATATAAAAACTGGCTAATTTTCTCCAGCTTAATAACACGGAAGGAACGCTATCTATGCTCTTGAAATTTTAATAAAATAAAAAAATATAGTATAACAATACTAATTATTTCTGATAACAAAAAATTTCAATAAAGCATTTCCTAAATAAATTAAACTAAAATTTAATGTATTTAAAATCTAACCACGAAAAAATATAAAATAATAGTATGATTTAGTAACAGAATTTAAAAAAAGTTAATAGCAGTACAAAGCAATTATATTAAACATTACAAACATTATGTCAAATTAAAAATAATATTATGATTTCTAAAATTTATTTAAATTCATTAACGAGACAACTATATGTATTACTAATCAAATCACAGACTAAAAAATAATCATAATAAAAGTAATTATGATATTAAAGAACATGAACTGTAAATAAGAAATAATAGAAGATCGACTTCAAACATTTACACATCAAAATACCTGTATGCAGATATGTTTATTTAATTTCAATGATTGGAAATAAAGATGACTAAGACTGATATTTTAATAGAAATAACAAAGAATTAAAAAAACAGAAAAAAATAGATTTATGAAATTGAATTACTACATAGGAAACTCTAATACCATGTACTAAAATTTTCAACAAGTCCTATTTACTCAAATAATATGTTAACAATCATCATTAGTTAATTTTATTTTAAGCCACAATCTTGTCTCTCAGCTTTCACTAATAAAAAATTATTTTCAATCAAAATTCTCAATAACTTACAAAATTAAAATCATTGTACAATAAATTATAACTATCTGCGCGTAGCGTGAGAATTTACGTAGTATATTGACTTAAAGTAATTACAATTCTCTAGAGTGTTCAGATCTATCTTTCGTTTCGTCAATAATTCTTTTTATTTTTTTTTAATAATATAATCACCTCATATCCCATAAGACATTTATTAGGTGAATAGCTAATACACCGTATATTATTTTTTTTTATTCTTATGATCAAAATAACAAAATGGGACGAATTTGGGTCACATATGATATGACCACAAATACCAAAGCATGCAGAATTGCAGAGAGTGCCGACAAGAAACAAAACATAAATCCCTTTTTTCAAAAAAAAAGAAAGGAAGAAACAAAACATAAAACTTTGAAAGACGTACGTGGTGAGAGGGCATGTATGAAACATGTCATGTGATTAATGGGCCTTTGGAGCCCAATAACATTTCCGTGACAACATAAAAAACATGTCCTCAACATGTCTCAAGATCAGACTCCAAACTGCCATGTGTGACAAGGTATTGAATAGAGTGTCCGAACCCATTTACAATCAAAAAGGAAAATAAAAAACAGCCTTGATTCTGGAGCTTTGTGTTCTTGTGGACATTGTCATATATTGCCATAACAATTGTGGCTTTGTTGAACTATTTGTTGATCAACGATTCATTCTTTATTATTATTTATATAGATTAATGGAGACAATCTTACATGAGATTTTTATGGTGCAAGAAGAACTGTTTGACGTAAATGGTCTCATAATGCCATAAAAATTTCTGTTATAAAACCATTGATGTAATAATTATTGTGACTTTTTTGTTGGGCTGTTTTTACTGGGTTTAAAATGGTTAAGGCCCATGCAAAATATCAAATATCACTCTATAATCTGTTTCATCATGTGACACAGTACACATCCTAATTAAAATTAAGTTCAAATTTGGATTGTTGAGTTTGGGTTGGTTCAAATTTATGTATATCACTACATAACTATATTTAACAGCAGACAAAACTCTCGAAATAAAAATACGGTCGATGACATAGCATAACATATTTATATTTTATGTCGATTTACATCATTCTGGAATCAAAATATTGTCGTTGGATCATGCGAGATTCTCCAACTTTGGTTCTCTCTTGTTTGATCTTTCTCACTGCATCGACGTCACCTTTCACCTACAGACCTACTCACTTTCGATATATGGTTCTAGTCTTCTAGACAGATTCACTTTCACTTTGAGTTCAGTTAGGTTCTTTAAGTGTTTATGGATTTGTCGGTTTGTAATATTACTATAGTAGAATGGACTGTTGTGGAAAACAATTGGGCTTTCTTGTCACTAATTCAAAAATCTTTATTGCAATTGGACTATTCTTTTTTCATTATATATTATTAATCCAATCAAATAGCGTGTTATTGACAAAATTTTGAGTTATATTTTCATGGTTGTTAATTACCCACCTAATTCACAATTTTTTTGTGTCAACATACTCAGTATATTTTTCTTTAGTTTATGGTTAATTATACCAAAACCAGAAAGAGATGGTGGCAGCTTTATTCATGATCCGTGATCGAGTGCAGAGACAATTTATAATAATACTTTTTTGTCGTAATTAATAATGACAAAAAATACAACTTAAAATAATCATTAATTCAGTATTAAGTCAACTCCCTGGCTTCCCCACCACCGCACGTTCGTGTCTCTGTCCACTCATTGACTCCATCTCCATCTTTTTCTCTGCTATCGTGCGCCTAAAACTGTCACATTCCATTGTGCTATGCTAACTTACTTTCCACCTTATCTCGTTAACGTGCGCGATCATATCATTACCCTATTATTTTCCAAATCATTTCAAAGATTATTTCTCTTTGCCAACTTGCTAATGTATTTTTTGTTGTTGTCCTTATCACAAAATGTCAATGACATCACCCTTTTTCCTCCGTCAAATACAACTTTCTATTTCCTTTTTTTTGGGTAGCAAATACACATTTCATTTTGGAATTAATTTGTTTTAATCGCCAAAGTCAACTAAGTTTACATTAGACTTTAGAAAATTTGAAGTACATACATTATATTTTTTGTCAACTAATTTTAAAATTACAACCATATATGTATATAAACCAAGAAAAAAAAACTGGTAATAAACGTTGACAAAGAAACTGTAATTAAACGTCTATCAATTATCTCACCAAAACCAAAAATATATTTTGTCTTTACATAATACACGTGGCAGCTGGATTTATGTTAAAAACTTAAAATAAGTCGTCGGTGGGCCCAGTCCATTAGAAACAATTAGAATAAGATGCCAAATAGTCAGAGTCAGAACACAGAAAAGGAAGAGCTGATATATCAAACGTCATCGTTTTAAGACCGAATCCAATTCCATATACTGTGTGTATATATATAATGTAAAAGATATATACGTGTGCTTTTGTTTGAAAGAAAGCGCACACACACAAACACATGTTCTTCGTTGCAGCTTCGTTGGGTTAAAAACTTTTCTCCTGCTTTTGGGAAGTCAAAGATAAAAAAAAAAAAGTTCCAAGGTTTGTTCTTTAGTTTGAAGCTATTTTCTTTTTTTTTGGCCTCCCAGATCTATACGTTTAAGATTTCTTCTATGTGTTCTTAAGTGTTTTTGCTCCTGATTATAATAAAATTCTGGAGTTTTTGTTTTGTTCTTTGGATTTGAAAATCGATTTAAAGTTTGCAGTTGTAAAACATTTCTTGATTTTTTCCTGCTTTGATTAGTGAATAGAAATTGAACAGGATTGCTTCGATCTGAGGTAGAAAATAAAGTGATTAGGTTTTGTTTTAGGAGAATCTGTCAAAATTTTGTGATCTGTTTTTGAAAATTGAAATCTTTGGGGTTCTTTTTTTTTTTTCAATAATTCTTGCCTTATATTTATCGTAGCTGGATTTGCAAAATAGAAAAGAGAAGGCTCTATATTAGTAAAACCAACTGTAGAGTTCTAGGTAGATATGCTGAAATTTTTGTAAAATCATAAACTCCTTTTTTAAAAAGTTAAAAAGTGTATTAAGTGGTAATTACTTTCAGCAGAAAATGGAGAATCTACCTCCTGGTTATCGTCCCAATGTTGGTGTTTGTCTAATCAACTCGGATAATCTGGTAAACTTTTTCTTTATCCAATTCACCTTTCTGATTAATTACTATTTTGCCACTGGTAATGAACACTTGAGTTTTACTACCATAATTTTGATTCACAGGTATTTGTAGCTTCAAGATTGAATGTTCCTGGAGCATGGCAGATGCCACAGGTGTGTTTATTCACTCACTTCGATATGAAATTTGCTGTGTCTGTTTATTTTCCACAAAGCTGATGATTTTTTTGTGAAGTGTGTTTAAATTCTTATGTCCGGAAAATTAATATTCACAGTGTTGAGCATATTACTGATGTAATAACACTACTCTAGTAGAAAAGAAAAGATGGTCAAGAGTTTGATAAAAGAATCTTGACAAGATGTTATCTAAATTGGTTAAAACTTTATCACCATTTTTTAAGTACTGAGAGAAACAGAGTCTGATTTTCTTTCCTGAAACTGTTTTCTCTGTTTTGCGATTATCTTGAAATCTTCAATGCTCTTGAGTTTCGAAAAGCTCGCTAATTCGGTGGATATTTGTAGGGAGGCATTGAAGATGGGGAGGATCCAAAGTCAGCAGCCATGAGAGAGTTACAAGAAGAAACTGGTGTCGTTTCAGCCGAAATCATCGCTGAGGTCTGTCTTCTCTACTCTTCACCAATACAATACAAACGATTATTAATCACAAAGATTTTTACCAATTAATTCTCTAAAACAGGTTCCAGTTTGGTTGACATATGATTTTCCACCTCCAGTAAAAGCAAAGGTTAACCGTCTCTGGGGTGGTGAATGGCATGGTCAAGCTCAGAAATGGTAAGTCTGTCTTTGCCAAAGTTTTTGCAATCTGAACACAAGAAGAGGATAAATGGCTCATTGTTCTGAAACAAAATGGAATCCACAGGTTTCTTGTGAGACTGATAAACGACGAGGACGAAAGAGAGATCAATCTTGCGAACAACGAAGCGGATTCAGAGTTTGCGGAGTGGAAATGGGCTAAACCGGAAGAAGTGGTAGAGCAAGCCGTGGATTACAAAAGGCCAACTTACGAAGAAGTCATCAAGAGTTTTGGTTCTTACTTAAACGATACAGGAGGAGCTGCTAAATGTAAATCAGCCAAGTGGTAATAAGAATCCAAAAAAAAAAATCAATGTTTGTTTCTTTTTTTTTTGGGGGGGTTCTTTTTAGTGGAACCCTTTTGGAATGCAAAAAGGTTTCTCTAGGGTTTTTTTTTATGTATTCATTTTTGTAAATTGGTTTATATGTACTAGAAGGTTTTGGTTTTGTTTTAACGTGGGGGTTATGTAAAACCTGGACTCAACAGGTTATTGTAATAAAAGTCTTTGTTTGGATTCAAAAAGGAATTGGGTTGTGTATGTGCTTATAAACTAAGTGTAAAGAAAACTCAAAGGTTGAACTTTACTGTAATTAGTACCACCGAATATACCTAACAAGATCTTTGTATTTTATCAAAAACAAATCTCTAATTCTAAAACAGGATGAGTTGTGTATGTGTTTATGGCTGAAGTTAAAGAAAAACCAAAGGTTATAAATATAAATGTGGGAGATAAATTAACAAACGAAACATGAGTTCCAAAACTATCATATATCAAGACACAACAAAGTGAGACCATACTTTAACAAAACCAAACCACATAGACAAATTCTTTTTAAGTACTAAGCTAAAGAGAAAGAAACTGGAAATGTAAATGGTAAATAAATGGTTCACCGGATAATTATATATGAATTCACTGGCAAAGCTGCTCGACGGCGGTCACGATCTGAGCCGGTTGAACCACGGTCCACTCTTCCAGAGTACCGGCATAAGGTGTAGGAACGTCCTGAGAAGACAAACACATCACCGGAGCATCCAAATAGTCATGGAAGTTCTCGTTAATGGCAGCCGTAAGACTAGCCCCAATCCCACCGGTTCTCATACACTCCTCCACGATCAAAACCCGATGCGTTTTCTTAACCGAGTTTCCGATCGTGTAAAGATCGAAAGGTTTCAGCGACCTGATGTCAATAACCTCAGGGTCATACCCTTTGTTCACCAGAGTTTTAGCCGCCTGCATCACATGGTACCTCATACGCGAGTAAGTGAGGATCGTGATGTGCTCTCCAGGTCTGACCATCTCAGCTTCCTCAAGGTTACAGATGTATTCTTCGTCCGGTATCTTCTCCTTGAGATTGTAAAGCAGAACGTGCTCGAACAGAATCACAGGGTTCTCGCTTCTTATCGCAGCTTTCATCAAGCCTTTGGCATTGTAAGGAGTCGAGCAAGCAACCATCTGGATCCCTGGAATGGACTGGAAGTAAGATTCTAAACGCTGCGAATGCTCGGCGCCAAGCTGGCGTCCAACTCCACCAGGACCACGGATGACGACCGGGATCGTGAACTGACCACCAGATGTGTAGTGAAGCATTCCACAGTTGTTGGAGATTTGGTTGAAGGCGAGGAGGAGGAAACCCATGTTCATACCTTCGATCACGGGTCTTAGACCAGTCATGGCGGCTCCAATGCCCATACCGGTGAATGCATTCTCACAGATGGGAGTGTCGAGAACCCTGAGGTCGCCGAATTTATCAGCAAGGCCTTTGGTTACCTTGTAGGAGCCTCCGTAATGGCCTACATCTTCACCCATAACACATACATGTGGATCTCTGTCCATCTCTTCTTCCAGACCTTCCTGAAGAGCCTCGAAAAGCAGTAGTTCATGTCTGCAAGTTCGTAAGATAAAACTGTTTATATTCTGTTTTGTGACGTAAAAAGCATCAGCCATGTATATGAGCAAAGAGACACTAAAGTGAAGAGGCAGATCACGAAATGTGTTATTTGATACATCAAAGAAAATGCATGGGTGATATCAACAAACAATTTATATCTCTAACGGAAACCAGTAAAGGTAGCAAAAAAAAGAGCACATAATTGATGAATTATTAGAGCACACAAGTTTAGTCATTTGCAGTATATATGCAAGAAGTCCAGAAATTACAGCAGAGCTGAAATTTTCATGGGATTTATGAGACATTGGCATGTGTCCATGGGAAGTAACTATATGGTTTGGATGTAAAATCTTGAACCTAATCATCTAGCATGATCACCACAGACAAAGATAACAATGGGAAGATTACTAAAAAAGCAAATAAATGTATCACATTTCAACTTTCGCAATCACTATCAAGTATCAACTACCGATTTGAAAACCAGGAGACCTGAATTAAGAGAGATTATTTCCAATCTAAAACCGTCCAGGGTGCAAAAAAAGAACAGCACAACATGTCAAAACTACCATGGAATCCCATTGACATGCAATCTATGTCTTCAAACAAAGTTCGAGGAAATGGAAACCAAATGCATTTGTGTAGCAAATACATGAAAGATCTAATAGGAGAAGCAGTATCAAAATCCAATTTGCAGAGCATTAAAATGTGCAAAACATACCCAGTGCCAGTGGTCGCAGATGTGTCCGTCTTGGTCTACAAAAGAACAAAAAAAAACCGTGAGACATTTGCAGATTTCGAAGGCCGACGAGGAGAAACCTTGCATACACAATAATCGGAGAAACGCATACCGCAACAGCATTTGCAATCAATTTCTGAGAATGGCTTGCTCTGAGGCCAGAGCCAAAGCTCTTGCTCGCATCAGATCCAGCGACAATGTATCTCTTGCTCCTCGCTGAATCAAAAACCGAAACAAGGAAACTGCTAAGATCTCGCAAATCAAACAGAAGAGAATGCAGATAGATCGTACGCTAAAATTCCGGAATCGAGAATCAAAATCCGAACCTGGAAGATTTGTGCGACAAGGAGCAGCGAGTTTCTTGGAATCGACGGGATTAAACGTCGACAAGGCCGTCGCAGCTCCGGCTCCATGGATTATCGCAGACATTTTCCCACAGAGCTCGGGACAATTTTGAAGAATTTTGGTCAGTTTTATTTATATATAAACACAGAAATGGCGATACAGAGAGTGACGAGCGGAGAAAACGAAGAATTAAAAGCAAAACTGCGAAAATTGTGAAAATTATTAATTTTTTTTTTCTTTTGCTTGTGCACTCACATCCACATGATTAACTTTGTTTTCATCGCCATGCGGTCTTTCTGATCTCCTGTGGGCTTCTATTTGTTAACAACCAATACAAATGTGACACGTCTTATTGTTAAGACTATAATGACACGTGTAAGTATATGACTAGTGGAATACATATTAATTAGTGAACTAGCTAGTATAAGGCTGGCAAAGTTCGTCTACCCACCCGGACCAACCGAGATGCATATTGCATAATGCATTAATCAACCTATGAGAGATTTCACTGATTTGGGAGACGGGCGGGTCACAAATGTATGGGCCTAGTAATAAAACAGTTTTGATTAGGTGTATTCTTTCTTATAGTTTGGTTATCAGATGATTCAGAATCAGATTTGAAAAGTAGAAGTTCGATTTCTCAAGGTGGATGGCAAATTAAGTTTGTGTAGTCTTCAAATAATCCAACTTACCTTTACTGAAATGATTTTATTTTCGAATAAAAATAATTGGATTAGTCAAAAAAAACATTGGTTGTTTATTTGTGTTTGCATTTGTGTGTATATATATAAACAAATGAACTTGCAATCTTAGAAATCTTATGCAAAATTCATTCATTTAATAAAAATTACTTTCAAAATTAAAAAAAGAAGTATATAAAACCTTGAACGCAAACGGAATCCAACAATCAAAAGAATAGCTTTACATTTGATTTCAAAAGAATAGCTTTACAAAATATAATTAAATTTTTTTTTGATGTAGACTCCGGCTGCTGGTCTGTTGGAGATTATTAGTCTGGATCTAGAAGTTTAGGACTACTCAAGTTAAAAAAAAAATCACCGATTTTTCTTTATATGTGTTTTTTTCTGATTTTTTTTCTTCGTATAAACGTAAACACATATTTGTTTATATTCGTTTTTAACAATCGAGACCTACATAAGTACATAGAAAAGCAAATGTGAGCAAGTAAAAGATCATGGCAGGCAGCTACAACTAGAATGATCATTTAAGAAAAAGAACAAAGAAAACTAGAATGATAATTTAATGCTCTTTTTGTTGATCATTTCTTTTGAAATTAACAATCAACCCTTATATAAAAAGCTTCTATATTTTTGTTTTCTAGTTTAATGAGATTTGACGAATCTTCAATACTTTTTATTTGACGACTAACGAATCTTCAATACTTACATAGATGAGGGTTTAATACTAATTAATGACTTTAAGAAGTTCATCATACAATTAAAACAAAAAATCAAACCTGCCGCGCAAAGATTTTCGCCATATTAAACTATCATTAACCCTTAAAAAAAAAAAACCAATACCCGGTTGCAAATATAATAGGCGGTTCAGTAACGTCCACGCAGCAATCAAGATTGTGTGCCCTATAAAAATGACTGGTTGTTTTTTGGTCCACAACAAATCGATCAAAAATTCGCTTCCACTGTCACTAATTTTCATAATGTAATACAAATTCTTGATTAAAATAACTAATAATATATATCTTTTACATTTCAAACAAAGGATTAGCGTAGTCTTTTTGATCGTTAATAATTCTTATAGTTACTTAGCAAAGGACCAAAAGTGAAATATAAGAAGAATCCCCTGCATTTATGTCATCAATATCTCAATCTCTGATTTTTGAAAGGATCAGAGAGAGAGAGAGAAAGAGCTTTAAAGGGTTCTCTTTTTGACTCTTCTTCTCTCTCTCTCTCGTTCGGATATTATGGAACTGCTCTATCTTCTCTGTTCAATCCTCTACACTTCAATCACATCCTTCTTCCTCTCTCTCCTCCTCCCATTTCGCCTCCTCCTCCGCCGTCTCCTCCCCTCACGCGCCGCCGTCGATTCAAGCGTCTCTTTCTACCAAGGCACCGTCTGGCACGACCGTCTCCGACCCGTCAGACACTCGTTCCGTTACTCCGTCCGTTACGCTCTCTTCGACCTCGACAATGCCCTTAACGTCCCGCCGGATCATCTCTCCGCCGACGAAGCTCGTATGGTTTCTCATACCACCGGTCCGATGTAAGTTTTTGTTCGTCAAAAATCGGATTTTTCTGAGCCGGAATTTGTAAAATTTCCACTTCGTAATGCGTAACGTTTTGATGTTTTTCTAACAGAACGCATCAAAATTCAAAATTTCAGTATTTGGGTTAAAAAGTTTTTGTTTTTGGTTCAAGGGTGTTAGGTGTTTGATCTGAATCATTGTATCTGAGTTTGTTCCTATTATTTAGCTGTAAATCGAATTTGATCATTTCAAAGATACAATCTTTATTAAAGACTTGGATACTTATTGTGATTGAAAAAGTTTCTGATGAATCTGTTATTTTTGGTTGCAGTTTTCTATTGACAATACCTCCAAGTGTTGGATATGAACAGAACCCATTGAGCTTGTATTATTGCTACAATTTGGAAGGATCGAGTAAACGCTTAAGCAAATGCATTGCTCAGGTATAATATATCTAATAGATTGTTTTTTGTCCTCTGTTTCTTGATTTGTTTCTCTCAGCTTCACTCTGTATCATCATCTATAGCGATAATTCATTATCTGAACACGATGTGCCAAAATCTTTACTGTTTCAGAGATCTTGAGTAAATCTGCTTATTGATTTCAAATAAATTGATGAAAGAAGAAGAGAAATGTGCATTCTCTTAGTTGAAACCTTTAATGGTGCAATGGCTTTATGGTAATAGTCTAGAGGATCTTGTAGGTTACAAATACTCCATGGGGAGAGCGTGTGACATTTGTTTTCGACCCTGAATCTGACGTGGTTGCCAAATCATTACAAGTCAGTCCTTTCATGGTAATGTTCTCTTATACTATTGTTATCAACTTTGAAATGATTCTTTATTAGTTATTGTGTGATTGATGATTAGAGGTTCCTAAAATGAAAATACTTCACCTTTCAGGATATGCTTGGGAATTGGAAAATGAGAGCAAATGAACCTGGAGATGAATTATCTGTCTCCATTGAATCGCAGCATCCTCAACACGGTAATTATTTCTCTGCGACATTGAAGGCCAAAAGAATACCTCAAGAACGAGTGTCTGATCCCGCAGTTTTCTTTTGGTTGATGCCTCATAAAGTTGCGATTTGGATCTATTGGCATGTAAGTGAGACAAGTCAAAATCTTTAAGTATATATACACTCAAGAACGTGGATCTCATAACCTTTTTCTTGTTTTTAGGCACTTAAACTCTGGTGGAAGAATGTACCTTTCATCCAACACCCTAGATACTCAAACCCATCATACAGAGAAGAATCAGCGAAACGTGATCAAGAACTTCGTTGTGTTGGATTAGATGTATCAAACTCTGATGAAACCATCAAACTTGATGGGTTTAAAGCAGATAGTTGTAGTAGTAGTTTTGGAGGATGTCGCTTTGCGTGGCGAGATGCTAATTGGCCTTGGTCATGAATAGTGAATACTTCTCTTTTTCCATTTGCCTAATTTGTGCTTTTCTCTTTTGTGGAAATGTTCAAAAACCAGAATTGTCACGGACCTGTTCTTGACATTCAACTCTCTATTCATACTTGAAAATGACACCAAAATCTGTTTCCACATCCATGTCTTTACTCAACGAGTATAATTTAACACATTGTTGAAATCACACCTTTTCTCTTTTGATTTAGGGGCTAGGCTGATTGTCAGTTCGGAATTTACAGTCATTCATCGATGGTAAGATTGGTATCAAACATTTGGAAATCTCATCTCAGGTTTTAGTTGACTTGTTTAGATTTTGGCTTGAAAACCAATGAACCACTAAGCATATAAATAAAATCGAATCAGGATCAATGAATCATGAATGCTTCTCATAAATACAGCAGTTTTATGAAAAAAAAAATGAAAAAGGGAGAAAGTGGTTTCGATAAATCTTTGGTGGACTAACATTTTGGGCATGTAATAGGTTAAGAGGAATACTGTATATATAGTAAACGGCACACGCTAGATTTTGTTATATTTGACACTAGTGCTAGGGCTGATCCGCTCTTCGCGCGAAATTTTGTATTGTATTTGTTGATATATTTAAGAAAAATTCTACGATATCAATTTTTCATTAAATTATGTATTTCAAATTTGTATATATATTTATAGTATTTAATAATTTTATATACAACATTTAGAAAATAATCAAATAATATATCAATTAAAACTTCAAATCAAATTTAGTTTGTAGATATCTTTATATTTATGCAGGTTTATGATTTTGGAATATATACAATTCTTAATTGTTGCATTCAGGAAAAAATATATGTAATAGACAATTAATTATTGAAAAATATCTCAATTCTCTAACATATTTTAAAAATATATTCATTTTTTTTTTGAGCATCCAAAAATATATTCATAATCTCTCTTTTTTCTACATCCATTTCCCTCTCCATCTCCCTCTCCCTCTCATTCTCCATCTTCCTCTCCCTCTCCCTCTCCCTCTCCTTTTCCTTCTCACTCTCCTTTTCCCCCTCATGTTCTCTCTCATCAATGCAACATGTTGAACCACACACAACATATTGGACCGGTTAAAATTTCTATCTTTCTTACGTTTTTCTTTTTTTCTAGTCACTTTCAATGTCACATCTCTAACTTGAGCTCTGTATAATTTTTTAAAGGAAACTTCACTCATTTTATGTTTCAAAGATTAGATTGATCATGTTGTCATTTTGTGATACCATAATTTGTTTCACAAATATGCATTCTCACGTCTCTATATTATTATTTAAGTAGTTATTTTAAAAATAATTTTTATTTTATAAATTATTACATGATATTCCATTACAAATAACAAAAATAATTAAAACAAAAAATGATATAATTGTCACTCGAGCTTTTTGAAACTCGTACAAATATTCATAACCTGTTAATATGTATTTTAATTATATAATATATTATTCTAATTTTCTTTAAATTTATGTCTTTTGTTATATTATAGTGTTTCATATCAGTTTTAAAACGAATTTGGATATTTTTAGATATTAAAAAATTTGGATCCGAGAATTTGTTTCTCGGATTTGGCAAAACTGGATCCAAATCCGGCTATCTTAAAATTTTATGGTTTACTATACACATCTATAAATCATATAAATAAAGTAAATAATTTAAAATAATAATGACTAAATGCATTAATATATAAACTATTATTTATGAAAAGTGTCTTTTCATATTCTTGTTAAATTAATGGATGATAGTTACTATGAGAATTAAAGTATAATAACACAAAATATAATAAATTATAAATTAATAAATGAATTGATGATGTGTCAAAATTTTAGAGTTTGAGAAAATGATGTGGCATCATGAGAAGAGAGAACATTTTACTTTATATTTAAGTAGTCATTTTAAAAATAATTTTTATTTTGTAAATTATTACATGATATTCCATTACAAATAACAAAAATAATTAAAATAAAAATGATATAATTGTCACTCAAGCTTTTTGAAACTCATACAAATATTCATAACCCGTTAATATGTATTTTAATTATATAATATATTATTCTAATTTTCTTTAAATTTATGTCTTTTGTTATATTCTAGTGTTTCATATCAGTTTTAAAACGAATTTGGATATTTTTAGATATTAAAAAATTTGGATCCGAGAATTTGTTTCTCGGATTTGGCAAAACTGGATCTAAATCCGGCTATCTTAAAATTTTATTGTTTACTATACATATCTATAAATCATATAAATAAAGTAAATAATTTAAAATAATAATGACTAAATGCATTAATATATAAACTATTATTTATGAAGAGTGTCTTTTCACATTCTTGTTAAATTAATGGATGATAGTTACTATGAGAATTAAAGTATAATAACACAAAATATAATAAATTATAAATTAATAAATGAATTGATGATGTGTCAAAATTTTAGAGTTTGAGAAAATGATGTGGCATCATGAGAAGATAGAACATTTTACTTTATATATATAGATTTTTGAATAAATATTTGCAAGATAATTATAGAAATTGAAGCATTATCGCCATTCGTGAAGTTTTTTTATCGCCATAAACTATAAATTAAAAAACATAATCAAATTAGTTTTAGTTTATTAAATTATTATAAACCACGTATATGTAGAGTGAATGATACACATTATCAAATAAGAACCAATTAAAAATTATTGATAAGATGTTAAAGTGAAAAATGTATAAACATCATTCTGCACATGAAACTTGCTAAAAACACGACACATAAATAAATCATTACACAATTAATTATATAAATTATTTCTACATTATTACGCTCTCTTTTCTCAGATTTTAAGTCGTCATCTCATCATTAATATAGCATACTTCTGTATCCCTTCTTTCTCTTTTTCGCACTATTTTTTCCAAAACGATCCCAACTCCCCTATAATCCTATTATCTGCTCGAAAATTTATTTCCCTTACTGCTCCTTCATAATTGTCCATCAATAAAGGCAAACATAACTGAGCTATGGTGGTTGTAAGTTCTCAATTTAAAACGTATCTCACACACATATACTCAGAAGAACAAACACACTTACACCCAAAACAACAAAATCTCTTTTGTTTTTCTTTTAGCAATCTCTTTTGTGTTTTTTCCTCTTTCAATGGCCTCTTTTCCAAAACAGATATCATAAATGCGGCGAGAATTAAGAGCATTGGAAAGTTTCTGAAGTTTACAGAGGACATGATCAATGCAAACAACTTTGTTATACGACAATGTATGGTGAACTTTTTATTGAGAGAACTACACACCATTATGTATGTTTGACTATTTCTATATTGTTATCGTAACCATTACTTAACTTATAAACTTTTATAAATATTTTTAATTTTTATCTTGGATAATTCAAAATGAGAAATTTTAGGAGTGCACAATATTTGTATGATAATGAAGTACATACCATAGCTGAGAGCATCAAAAAGTTTTGAAAGTTTGCTAAGAAGATGATCCGTGACAACAACTTTCTTCTTGGTGAGTACATCGTCGAGAAGATTGCAAAAGAGACTGCCATTAAAGTTTTTGGTGTCCTCGCCAATAAAATTACGATTTGGGGTTTATATATACAATCTGACGTTTTCGGTTCTCCCACTGCTTCTTCATAATTGTCCATTAATGAAGGCAAACATAACTCACACACCTATGTATAACATATATCATATGTCTGTATATTTTTTATTTAAACGTATCTCACACACTCTCAAAAGAACAAACACATTTACGCCCAAAACAACAAAATCTCTTTTGTTTTTTCTTGAGCAATCTCTTGTGTTTTTTCCTCTCTCAATGGCATCCACAAAAGACATTATGATGGTGGCCAGAATTAAGAACATCAGGAAGTTCCTGAAGTTTGCAGAGGAGATGATCAAGGCAAACAACTTTTTCCAGGACAATGTATGGTGAAGGTGATCGCAGAAGCAACGGCCACAAAAGTTTTTGGTGTCCCAGCGGAAGAATTGGATGGTGTGGACTTGCACAACGGCTGGCGTTCCGCAGAGTTCATGTACACAGAGCTCACACCCATGCCTTAACCGACGCAGAAAGGAGTGAAGAAACAACCTCCTGTGCACACAATGACTATGTTCAAAGTGATTAAAGTCAGTGCTAAGATCAGACTGGTCCATGAGTTCAAGCGTACCGCTGAGATCGTGAGCAACCTAGGGGGTGAGCAGCTCGTGCAGGAGTCTCAGCGTCCAACTCCGGCAACCCCATGATACCCTTCCGGTAGGAAAGCGGAAGAGAGAAGAGAAGAATCGTTTGTGTGTGAATGTTTTTTCTTTTTCTTTTAAGTTATCCTTTTAATTTATGTAATTCCTTCTTGTTATTTCTGTTATTTTTTTCAGTAATTTTCTTCCTTTTTAAGTTTGGTTGTTCGAAGGAAGAAATGACTAGTTTAATTATTGTCAAGATCGTCAGGTTCTTGTATTCTGTCAACAAAATTATATTATCTTTCATAATAATTGTGAGTGAAAACTAAGAGGTGGTAGTGGGGTGGTTTTTTTTAGTGAAAGATTCGACTCTGTGGGTCTAGGCTAGAGATCGAGTTTTCCTAGATGTGGAATTATCACATTTTTAACTTTTGACTATTCAACCATGTGGGCTGCTATTGGGCTTACATAAAAAAGATGATGGACTTAAGAAGGATTAATCTGGGTTCGAATGGCCTGTGATTTACTTTCGGATAAAAAAAAAAAACAATTGTGAGTGAACAATGCTACCACGATAATGAATAATGATGGGTAACAAACATAAACAAATTTGAAAAAAAAAATCACTTTAAATCACAATTTTTATCTTAAGAAATTGATGTAAGAAAGAAAAGAGGCAGCACACTTTTGCTTTAGACGTCGACCATTGGCTACGGTTCTCTATATTGGTAGCTTTATTTTAGTTTAGCTATTTGCTTGAAGGATGGTTACAGGACTGCTGGTTTTCGTCACGGTTATAACTTATAAAACTTATCGAGTATTAAAAACGTTTATCGTGTATCATAAGAAAATAGTTTAGAGAAAACTAAGAAGCATCCAAAATAAAAGAAATCAGTATGATTGGTTTTTCTTTTTCCTTTTTTTTTGGTTTAAACAAATCAATT